ATTACTGGCCTTTTTCAGTTTTTACTTGTACTTAATACCCTCGAGTGCCAAATAGAGTTTAAGGTCCTAAGTTCTTACATAAGACATTTCGGAAGTAAGGGGAAACCCAACGCAGAAGAAGAGCAAAATCATAGGGAAAGGGTGCTAAACCAGTGCCCTCGTCACCTTTTTAAAACTCCAGAGCAGGCTCGGCGCTTGTGGCTCAAGTGGCTAAGGTGTCAACCACATACACCCAAGGTGGCGGGTTCAAATCCAGCCCAGGCCACCAAACAACAATGATGGCTGCAACCAAAAAATAGCTGGGCGTTGTGGCGGGCGCCTGTGGTCCCAGCTACTTTGGAGGTGGAGGCAGGAGACTCGTTTGAGCCTAGGAGTTGGAGGTTGCTGTGAGCTGTGATGCCATAGCACTCTACCCAGGGGGACAGCTTGAGGCTCTGTCTCAAAAAAAAAAAGAAAAAAAACAAAAAACTCCAGAGCAAAACTAACTCTGTACCACCCTCCTAAACAAAATCAGCTTCCAACTGAGGGGGATTTTTCTTTGATCTTCAGCCCTGGGACATAGTCATGCTTGCTTAGTGAATATTTTTGGAAACATTCTTTTATTTTCAAGGCTTTTTTTCTTGAAATTGAGAAACAGCCCAGACTAGAGAGTAGTTGCTACATATTTATTTCTCTCTTTTCTTTTTGAGACAGAGTCTTAGTTTGTCGCCCTTGGTAGAGTGCCATGTCATCATAATAGCTCACAGAAACCTCAAACGCTTGGGCTCAAGCGATCCTCTTGCCTCAGTGGGTGGACTACAGGTGCCCACCACAAAAGCTATTTTTAGAGACAGGGTCTTGCTCTAGTTCAGCCTGGTCCTCGAACTCCTGAGCTCAAGCAGTCCACCTTCCTGGGCCTCCCAAAGTGCCAGGATTACAGGCATGAGCTACTGCACCCAGCAACACATTTATTTCATTTCATCCTGTTAATTTGTGTGCAGGCCCATTTCTGAGGTTAATCAATCCTGGACTACACACTGACATTTATTACTTACCGACATTGGGGATTGTTACTGGGTTGGGGTGTTTATATTGACTGGTGCCGGCCTTCTGGTATATCCCTGTTAGTGAAGCAGAGTTAAGTACCTCTTCTATACCTGTGTGTAGCCAGCTCCCTCCTCCTTCCCATTTGCCCTTGATTGAAATCCATACATTGCATGAGATGAATTTCGCTCAAATTTGAAGGATTTGGCTCGGCGCCTGTGGCTCAAGCGGCTAAGGCACCAGCCACGTACACCTGAGCTGGAGGGTCAGCCCGGGCCCACCAAACAACAATGACAGCTGCAACCAAAAAATAGCCGGGCGTTGTGGTGGGTACCTGTAGTCCCAGTTACTTGGGAGGCAGAGGTAGGAGACTCGCTTGAGCCCAGAAGCTGGAGGTTGCTGTGAGCTGTGATGCCACTGCACTCTACCCAGGGTGACAGCTTGAGGCTCTGTCTCAAAAAAAAAAAAAAAATTGAAGGATTTGATTTTGATAAAGGGAGAAGCAATGATTACAACACCATTAACAAGTTTGAAACTACTCCTAAGTGTTTATTTAAGCTTTTCTTTTAGACCAAAGGTCTATTTTTAGGATTCTCTAATTTCTTTTTCCTACATAAGATGTTTTTAGAGTTTTAAAATGGGAATTTTGGTTAAGTAATGAATCCTGATTATCTTTTGTGATGAGTATTATCTAAAATGTTGGGGCTATATTTTTTTAAAAAGAGATTTGCCTACAAATTTATAATCTAATTGAAGAGAAAGAAAAAGAATCACATGCAGAGACCTGATGTGATCGGGTGTATGTGGGTGACAAAGATGGCCCATTAGTTAGTAAGCAGTGGGGTAGTCAGTGTGCCCAGGAATCAGGTGGAGGGGGCAGTGAGGGGGGAAGCAGGAAGGAAGCTTTGGGGCATTTGGCAGAGGGGTTGAGCTAGGGGTTGAGGTTGGGAGGAAAGAGACTCACAGCTGATTTGTGCCTCACTAGGGGACCCTGCTTAGCTTATGTTACAGACAGTGAGGCGGAAGGGACCAGATTGGAAGGGACCAGATTCGGGAGAGGTGGGAGAGAGCTGAAAAGGCTTACGGTCTTGCGGATAGGTTTCTTGGCAGCATGGATTAGGAAAATGAAAACCTGTACTACAGACCTTCCGTAGTATCAAGAGTAATCTGGGGTTTTAGAAAGGTTATTTAAAGACTTGGCAGTTTACTGGTGACTGTTGTACTGTTTTGTTTTGTTTTTTTAACAACCTTTTCAAGAGTAGAAAGACTTGGAAGAACATGCACTGTAGGAGCAGCCACTCCCTTGGCCTCTTGGGTCAGCTCTGTGATTTGTGTCCATCTCTGCAGCTTTGGTGCAGGGAGGGATGGGGGAATGCATGAGAGGTAGAACAGAGTACTGTGCTCACAGTCAGATGCACTGATGCCTGGAGTAAAATCCTAATTTTATGGAAGTAGTCTATAAGTTATTTTTAGAGGGAAAATGAAGTGGTTAATTTAGTTTGAAAAATTTTTGTTATTTATTTTGTTAGAGACAGGGATCTTGCTATGTTATCCTGCTGGTCTTGAATTCTTGAGCTCAAGCGATCCTCCCACCTCAGCCTCTTGAGTAGCTGGGCCTATAGCCATGAGCCATTGCACCCAGCTCATGAGTCTAATAAATTTTTTAAAAACTAAATAATAAAAAAGAATGTCTGTACTCAGTTTCCTTTCAACTTATGAGCTGAGTTAATAAAACTGTAAGAGTCTTGGTGTCATTCATAGCTTCATTTTCTGGTAAGTTTCTTATAAAATCATTTCTTTGCTAACGTACATTATCTACATAAAAATAGAGTTAATACAGAGCCATAGTGAAACCATAAAAGCAGGACTCCCATCATCTTTGTGGGGTAAAATCAGGGCAAAGTGCCTGCCCTGTGGAAGACACAGCACGTGCTCCCATGAATGAATGTGTCCGGAACCGCTAGCGTGAGGCCAGCAGCAGCTGTTCTGTGTGCTCCGATCTTTACTTTCACCCCTGCTTAACCATATGGAAAAGCCCAGGCATGAGCATGAGCCCAGGAGGTCTGGGCCGGTTCCCACTGTGAAAAGCTTTCCCTTGTCTCCTTGAAAGTCAAGAAAAACACTATTAAAATGGCGTGGCTGGTACATCATCATATTGGGGTTTTTCAGGATGTAGCTTAAAAGATAATTCTTTCCTAAGATTGTTTTCTCCAGATTGTGGAACAAATTGCACCAGAGTCCTGTGAGCGGAAGTTTAGGACGATGAGATGAGCACTGAGTGAAACTTGAGTGAAACGTCCATCTGCCCCAGTGTGGGCGGCACGACCATCCCGCCCTAGTGTGTGTGTGTGCGCCACCCTCCTGTTCTCATGTGCGGGTGTGCACCACATCCCTACACTAGTATATAGCCCGACACAGGGAGGGGGATGTTTTTAAGAAAGACCTAGAATGACCCCGAAGATCTGCACCAAGCTCTCCTTTCATCCGCCCACACCCAGTTCAGGATCTAACAGCCACCATCAGACCCACAGCACAGGGCAGGTAACTGTCTCTTCACTGTTCACCTGAAAGTTCTGTTTTTGCTGAACTCAGGGGCCCCGCTAGGCTGGTCAGCGCCCACTTTTTACACAGACAAGCTGTGGCGACTCCTCTGACTCCTCCCATCCCTGCTGCTCCCAAGTGAGCCCCCCAGATCCTTCCTCTGCAGCGTGGCTTGTATCCCCTTCCTGTCTGGCCCCTCCCTAACTCGAGACCATCTTAGCACCTGCCTACATCACTGCTGTGGCCACTGTCGCCTTCTGTTTTATGCTAGTGTAACGGAGTGCCTGAGAAAGGGTGACTTACGATGAACAGAACCCTATTTGGCTCGAGATTGCAGAGGCTGGAAAGTCCACGAGTGAGGGGCTGCGTCCAGAGAGAGCCTTCCTGAGGACCATGGCAGGGAGGAGGGCACCGCATGGCAGAGAGAGGAAGAGAGCAGTGACCTCACTTTTAGAAGGAACCCACTCAGGATAACAACACTAATCCCCTGTTGAGGGCCGAGCCTCGTGACCTAATCACCTCTCGATACTGCTGCCCTGGGGATTAAGTTTCCAACGTGTGAACTTTGGGACCAAACCTCCACCGCAGCTGCCCCTGCTGCCCGCTTGCTCTCTCACCCTGTGCTTCTGCCCAAATCTTCTGCTGGGTTAATCTTGAAACACCACTTGCGTGTCACCACTCTCCTAAAAGCAATCAACATTTTATTCCTTTTTTGGAAGCAGAGTCTTACGCTGCTGCCTTGCCTAGAGTGCCATGGGGTCATCCTAGCTCACTACAACCTCAGCCTCCTGAGTAGCTGAGACTACAGATAGGCACACACTATCATACCCAGCTAATTTTTTTTTATTCTTTGTCGAGGGCTTTGCTCTGTTGCCAAGGCTGGTCTCCTGCACCAATCGAGCCTCCCACCTCAGCGTCCACCTTGGAGCCCCAGAGTGCTGGGCTCACGCTCACCAGCAGTCTACTTTAACCTGCCTCCAACAGGCTTTAGACTCGAGGTTCATCCTGTCAGTCAACACCTGCTTCAACCACCCCGAACCTCCTGTCGAGCCTGAGAACATCCTTTCATGCTGTTTTCCTAGTGCACCCTGAGCAAGCTCTAGGTCAGAGGTTCCCAACCTGCAAGTCGTGACCCACAGGAACTGTATTAAAGGGCCATGGCATTAGGAAGGTTTAGAACCACTGATCTAGGTACTAGAAAAAGACAGATGCGTACGTCACCCCTTCTAGAGAGAAACTCCATTCTGCGCACTGACTCTTAACCCAGGCAACGTATCAGAAACTCCTTGGGACTCAGACCAGGCCTACTGAATGCATTTATGGAGTCAAGCCTCTGAACTGAGACACATTTAACTTGTGCAGAACCTTTCATTTCTAAAAGATTGAACATTTTACCATGAGGCCCACCAACCAGTGTCTCTGTATGATTTCTGCAGAAGTGATCCGCTCCCTCAGAATGGGACACTGACCCCTTCTGCACTTCCTGTGGTCACACCGGTAACGGGTTTCCGTGGGGATGCCTGTGACCCACCAGAAGTCAGACTCCTCGGAGATGGACTCCAACACGTCCCCCCACTGCGGGCTCAGGGACCTGAGCAGAGGTGGGAGTTTGGAGAGTCGGAGCAGCGGGTCTCGGTCCAGAAGTTTCACATTGGTGAGTGGCGGCTTCCTTTGGAGCTTTTCGGTGCCCTAATTGATTGGCTTTGCCCCTTCTTCCCTTTAGGGAATAGCCTACAAAATCCCCTCCATGCAGGGAGGCCCCTGTGGCTCAGAGGAGTAGGGCACCAGCCCCATATACTGGAGGTGGGGGGTTCAAACTAGTCCCAGCCAAAAAAACTGCAAAAAAAAAAAAAAAACCCCTTCCATACAGATTTTACATTTCTTGATTTTTTTGCACATCTCAAAACTTTTATAATGACCCACATACATGTATCATTTGATTGCTTCACGAAAAGAAAAATATATAACAAATTACACTCTGAATATCTGAGAGCCTACAGATACTTAAGAATGCAGAGTCTGAAACTTAACTTTTAAATTAAAACAATAAAGAAGGCTTGGTGCCTGTGGCTCAAGTGGCTAAGGCATCAGCCACATACACCTAAAGTGGTGGGTTCGAATCCAGCCCTGGCCCGCCAAACAACAATGATGGCTGCAACCAAAAAAAAGCCAGGCGTTGTGGCAGGTGCCTATGGTCCCAGCTACTTGGGAGGCTGAGGCAGGAGACTCGCTTGAGCCCAGGAGTTAGAGGTTGCTGTGAGCTGTGATGCCATGGCACTCTACCAGGGGGATAGCTTGAGGCTCTGTCTCAAAAAATAAATAAATAAATAAATAAATAAATAATATATTAAGAGAATATATAGAAAAGACATACACATTAATATTCCAGTCATTAGTGTCCTGAAGTCTTGCTCTGCTAAAGAAGGGTATTTCTTTTCTTTTTTCTTTTCTTTTTCTCCCCTCTCTCCCCTCTCTTCTTTCTCTAAAAAAGACAGGGTCTCTGTCACCCAAGCTATAGTACAGTGCCATGATCACAGCTTGCTGCAGCCTCAGACTCCTGGGCTTAAGTGAGGCTCCCAGGTAGTTGGGACTACAGGCATGTGCTACCATGCCCAGCTGATTTTTTATTTTTTTTAGGAGACCAAGTTTCACTGTGTTGCCCAGGCTGGTCTCAGTCTCCTGGCCTCAAGGAGTCCTCCTGCCTGGACCTCCCAGAGCACTGAGATTGGTGTTCACCACAGCGCCTGGACTCAGAAGGGCATTTCTAAAACTTGGCGCGGCTAACTTAGGGAATAGGCCGAAAGGTACCCTGTCCGTGAGGCGATGGTGTTAAATTGAGAATGTTCATCAGATGAACATCTAAGCAAATGGGTGCAATGATTGAGAAGTGGGGATATTTGAATTATTTCTTGCCTTTCTTGTTCATTTTGCTGTAGAACTTGAGGAACAACTTTCTTAACATTCTTTGTACCCCGGCCTCTTCTAATGGAGAACTGATATAATACCTGCCATTCTTCTCCAGGGAGAGACCATGATACCAAGTTTGTCAAACATTCTGAATTTGGAGAAAGAAAATTACTGCTTTGATATCATCATTCTAATTACAATGGGTCCATTCTTCATTTTAAGCAGCTAAACCCTCTCACAACAAATCCTGCTATTCTCCACATAGTGCAGAGATAAACTAGACCTCACTGGCCTCTGCATATCTGCCCATTTTGAGGAGCAGAGTTAACGGACTATTCTGTTAACCTTCTGTTTTTTGTATTTGCGCGTGTGTGTACAGACTCTCATTTTGTCACCCTTGGTAGAGTGCTGTGGCATCATAGCTCACAGCAACCTCAAACTCTTAGGCTCAAGCGATTCTCTTGCCTCAGCTTCCTAAGTAGCTGGGACTACAGGCGCCTGCTATTATGCCCAGCTATTTTTAGAGACGGGGTCTCTTGCGCCCATTCAGGCTGGTATTGAACTCCTGAGCTTGAACTCCACCTGCCTCAGCCTCCCAAATTGCTAGGACTATAGGTGTGAGCCACGACGCCTGGCTTCTGTGTGGTTTATGTATTCACTCAAATATTGAAGTGCTCGGCTCGGCACCTATGGCTCAAGCGGCTAAGGTGCCAGCCACGTACACCTAAGGTGTAATTCACCTAAGGTGAATCCCCAGCCCGGACCCGCCAAACAACAATGATGGCTGCAACCAAAAAATGGCCAGGTGTTGTGGCAGGCGCCTGTGGTCCCAGCTACTTGGGAGGCTGAGGCAGGAGACTCGCTTGAGCCCAGGAGTTGGAGGTTGCTGTGAGCTGTGATGCCATGGCACTCTACCCAGGGGGATAGCTTGAGGCTCTGTCTCAAAAAAAAAAAATATTGAAGTGCTCTTCTGGGGATCCAGGATACCATGCTGAGTGTCATCCATTGCTGCAGATCCACATCCCAGCAGCACATTCTGAGTTGGAGGTTAGAGTGAAGCAGGCTCCCTGGTGGAAGTGTCCCCAGGACCAGTGTCAGTGCCAGGAGGAGGAAGCAAGATTGGTCAGAGAGAGAAGCCAGGCTGTGACAATCAGTTTCCCTCAGCCAAGACATTTCCCAGATAAAGTCTGACAGCTCAGGGCGGTCTTCAGCCACACTCACCACGGATGGGGAAAGAGTCCTCCCTTCCCGACTGGCAGTGCCTCGAGGCTTAGGAGAAATGAAAAGAAGCCTCTCACTAATCAGAGCACCTGCAAGATATTTTAACCTGAAGAAGTGGGTCTGTGGCATGAACTCAGGGAGTTTCCCAATACACCTGTTCACAGATGATACAGACATGTGGAATAGCCAACCCTGTCATCGGGCAAATTAGGAGAGCACTCCTCGTGTTGACTGTTTGTTAAGATGTCGTACGCAAGAATGTGCCTTCATTGGTAAGAGCTCTTGTGTAAAGGAGGCCGGTCGAGTCACAGAGAGAAATGGCTTATTCCACCCCGGTGTCTCGCTTGGGTCCTTGCATTTCTTTCTTTTTCCTTCCTCCCTAGGATCTCACAAGTTTCTTAATTCTGCCAGTCCTCTTTCGGGGCACAGCCATGAATTTAAAGAATACTCTTCCTGCACAGTTCTTTTTTATCTGGTAGAATCTCATAGCGGTACTAAGGGGATGAGTTTGGTTTCTCTGTACGTGCCCTGTGGGGCCCATCAGCGTGCATAATAACATGAGATGGTGGAAAGAGTGTTTCACGTCCCCCTTTGATGAAGCATGTGGTTAAGTCACGTGTGCATGTGAGGTGCCCACTCGTGCAATTCTGCACATTCCCCGTCACTGCCTGTTCTCCACGGGATGTGGAGGAATGTGCCCATGTGTCTCATCATCTTTCTCTTAGGCTTGTTAACTGTGCTTCAGGCATCTTCCTTCGTGGACAGTTACTGAGTGGAGTGTGATTGTTTCACAGTTGTGCATTGTCCTTAGAACTAGCAAATAGAGAGACTTTGGCATTCGACTTTCAATGACAACTGCGGCGTTTTAAAGGATCAAACGAAATGCAGTTTTCACAGGACAGCTTTTCAGCAGGTGGTCCCCATCACAGCAGCATAGCATCTTCAGACGTCATACTCTGCTTTTTGGAAGTCTGAGTCTAGAGATTTGCTTTTATCCTAACTCATCAGGTCCTTTCTTTTTATGTGACTTTTCTCTTTAGAGCGGGAGTCAATCACAGTGGTTCCTTCACTTGCTGTCCTTTAACCCCCAAAGTCACGAGAGATGAGTCAGTGTCCAGTGTGTCAGGGTCTCCAGACTGTGTGGCATGTAAATGCCCCTCTGAGAGGCTCTTAAATGCACAACCTAGTTCTGATTTACACAAGTATGAGGTTTGTCTTGTTTTGTCTTTGAGACAGAATCTCCTGCTGGCACCCAGGCTGGAGTATGGTTGCATCGGCCGAGCTCACAACAACCCCCAACTCCTGGCTCAAGCCATCTGCCTGCCTCAGCCTCCCCAGTAGCTGGGACTGCAGGTGCACACCACTATGCCCAGCTGATTTTTCTATTTTTTGTAGAGAAGGGAGTCTTACTGTTGCACAGGATGATCTCAGACTCCCAGCCTCAAACCCTCCTCCTACCTTGGCCTCTCAGAAGTGCTGGGATTACAAGCCTGAGCCACTGGGACCAGTCAGAAGCAAAGGTTATTTTTCAAAGAACATACAAGATGAAAGCTTGATAATTAAACAAGAGTATACTGAAGTTTTAAAATACTTGTTGAAGTGTTGCCTGGGATGTAACAGATCATTGTTCTTTAGAAACTTTTCTCCTGAGCCAGTGCAAGTTACAAATTAAAATAGCTACTTAAATAGCGTTGTTACACTGGTACATGCGCTCACCATCGTGACTGAAGCTATTCTAAGAGGGCCGTGTACATGAAGTCTTTGAATCTCAAGAGGCAGTTGTGTTTGTTTATGTTTGTTTTTGCTTTTGTGGTTTTTTTTAGATCCAGAGACAAACTGAGATATAGATAAGTATGTATATACATATATGTGTTTGTGCGTATGTGTGTTGGTGAGGAATTCTGCCTCCAAACATTTTCTAATGGACGTTACAGATAAAACTAGAATTAATTGGCCAAATCCTAGAATGTCTGGCTAAAGAGCATCCCCGTTAAGAGAGGCAGCCCTTCTTTGCCAAGTTGGTAACTACCCCAAGAAGGGACACAGACTCAAACTAAAAGGTTCAAGGAGGACGGAGAGATGTGCATAAGTGATGGATGTCTCCTTAAGGCTGCCGGGGGAAGCTTTGGGCATTAGGTCACCACCATTCTTGACTTCTTAAGGCTGTGTCTCCCATGCTTACACCACCTCACGGAGCATCCCGGTGCATTGCCAGGAAGAGGTGCTGCCATCGGTCCTCACTCTGAGCCTAAGCCTGAGGTCTCTTCTGCCCTTCAGACCTCTTGGAGCTTCCTCTAGAAAATGGAACCAGCCTTAGTTTGACTCTAATACTGTGTCTCCTTCCTGAAGGGCGGTTCGGGGGACACCCGAGTGTACTTCCTGTTCATCTTTACCTCTGACTTGGGCCTATATATCGCATTCAACAAACTGTCTTGAAACCCCCCTTCTCCCTAACAAATGCTGTGGCCCCCCCAGGCCCCTGTCAAGTCTGTGATCAGCCTGGGCCTGAGCTGCCCCTCCCTCTGC